GTTGTGGCACTCGAAGTATTTTCCTTTGTTGAGGCCGAAAATATTTAACAAAACTTAATGCTCAAGTGTTGATTTATTAAATTGTTTAGCCACTGAGGGCGGGCAAGGACGAAGGACGAAGGAGGAGCTGTGTGCATTAGCGACACCTGTCCAATGGAGACACCTGTGCGGGCCCAAGAGCACGGTCCATTGGTTCCATTATAGCAGCTGATCCCAGTGAGCCAGGCAGCTTGTTTACAGCTTGTCTATTTATAGAGAGCCTCCTTTTCAGTCCACCACCCATCAAATAAATAAATATATCCCTGCAAAACATCGAGAAAAGTTAAGCAGCCACCGAGCTAAACTAGTTAAAGTTGGGTCACACATTCTGTGCGACCCCAGAAACTTTATAATTAGCATTAGTGCCTAATGAAATTCTGTCCCTCCTATGATATGATATTTATAGTTTAAAACACATTTATCAAATTATACATATATCTAGGGACTAGGTTGCGTAACACAATATGTCCAAAAGCAAACGAAAAAGCTGGCAAATATTTGCCAGATGTCGGGCTTCCGTTGTCACATTTTAACTGGCGAAAAGTGAAAAGTTGCCCATTTAAGGCAAAGTAACTTTGCTAATTTTATAAAACCAATCTCAACCTTTTAGATTGATCAATTTTCTATGAAATTCTAACGAAAAATCCTTGATTTGTGTTTGGTATCTCACTGAGATTCCGAAGTAACTTGGTTATAAAAATAGTTTATTCTCGGAATCTCAGCTTATTTAAATCCCTTTAAGGGGAAATAAATCATGCTGGTTTCAGCCATTTGCTTCGTTTATTTCAAGGCAACACAGCCATTTTTAGAGTGCTGGCCATAAACCACAGCAAGTGTGCGTCATAAACAGCAGCATAAATTTCGAATAGTGCAAGAAACACATATGCAAGTCAATTTTCTTTAAAACTGCTTTATTTTTAGTACTTTAACTATAAATACTGTGGGAATGCCAGTGGGAAACACTATTCAGAGCCAATTTCTGCATTAATAGTTGTAAACTTCCATCTGTGTGAAATTGTTGTCATCTGGCGGCTCTTACAATAGCCAGCCTTTGTCCTGCAAAGGACCATCGAGCTGTATTCCAGGGCTAAAAATAAATAAATAATGCGCCTGGACCTGGCCCACCACACTGCGTATACGTGATAAGGCATTGTGTGTGCATGTGGGTGGTGTGTGTAGCGTGTATGTGCCTGTGGTTTTTGGGCCGAACCTTTTCCCAGGCATCTTGAACTCCATCCGGCTGCGTCTCTGTTTGTCCAGCGAGCTCCTCCTTTGTTTGTCTTGTATTTGCCAACATATGCTGGCCCGGGGTTACGAATGCCCATGTCCGTGCCTTTAATTTGCAACCAGCTGGGCGAGAACGGCCACCGAATTTGTAAACTGGTTTTTCATTTGGCATAATAAATGAAAGGAAAACAGCCAGCGATAAGCAAACGGAGACGAATGTGCCAATGTCAGACCGCAAAGTCATTGGAACATTTGTCTTCGCAGATCTTCTCGCTTTTTGCTGAAAACAACAGAGTACGACTCGGTTTTTGTTGCAAACAGGAGGGTTCTCTGGTAAGTTGGAGATATGCAGGCCAACTACGGGTAGTTGCTGGCATCTTAATAAGGTCACAACACTCTTGCATAATTTATGAGGAAACTATGGCTTAGCAATATGAAACTATGCATAGCAGATGAGCGCTGACATTTCAGGGACTCCTGACAGATGTAGGACACGCTTGGGGGAGAAAATACTTTCGAGAAACTAGAAATGAGTTCCACGGAATAAGGACATCTGAAGGAAGTATCCTTATTAACAAAAAACATATACATAACATATCAGGGAAGAAACAAAGCAACGTATACCATAAAAAACAAAAAAAAATATTTTTTATCCTCAGAAGATTGAACTTGAAAGATAATTTTGTGTTTTAAGATTGTGTTACCAAAAAAAAACCTTTGATACATTTGCAAAAGTGAAATTGGTATACAAATTCTGACAGAACATGCTGTTATAAAAAGGTAAATATTTAGTTTATGGTTTATAATAAAAAAATAAGAAATACAAATAATAAATAAGATCACATAAACGTTGTTGCTATGGAAAGTATTACTTAAATATATTTATTAGCCTCAAAAGAAAGAAGCATTCATTGGTTTTATTATAAAATATTTATTTAATGCATTTTAATACCTTTAAGAATCCTGTTCTTCTTTTAATACTATAAAAATACTATGTCGCAATATTAAAAAGCCCCCACCACTTTGTTTATACTTTCCCGTATGTCCGTAAACATCTTGTAACAATCTGCTGTTGCTCCTGCAATCACTATTGTTGCTGCTGTTCTTGGGACTTAAGAGGGCTTTTCAAACAGTAACACCATAAACAGGGGGGTTAGGGGTACTGACAACTAACGCCTGTTGCCGTTGGCCACGTCAAAAGGAGTCCTGACTTAACGCTTTATGCAAGGATTTGGCCCACAGCCCGGCCACGACGACAAGCGGCTCAAAAGGATGGTAGACGTTGGTCGAGAGGGGTACATTTATATGTACATATTTAGTATCTCACTGACAGGTGCGTTTGTTGGCTTTTAAAGTTAGTGTGCCTGCTCAAAGGCTTTCGGCCTGGTCGGCGGGTAAACTTTTAATCATCGCAAAGACAACGAGGCAACTTGGCAAATTATTCTAGGCCAACCACTGGGCATAAAATTGCAGAGCTGCTCATATCAAACTCCGCCAAGTGTGTGGGCTCAAATCCTGCGTGGGCTGTAAGGAAGCATATGTATTTACTTGAGCAAGAAATTGACTTTCGCTTTCTTTGCTTTCCCCTGCTTTCCTTTGCTTTCTTTCTTTTTTTGTTAAGTTGGTCGGCCAGCAATTACATTCAACGCGGGATCGAGATTTATTTAGATTTGCACGGCAATAGCTGACTGAATCTAACGTTTTACTGCCGATAAGGTCGTAACATCAAAGGCAATAAAATCTAAACGCATCATCGTCAAAGCCCCGCAGATAAGACCACGCGGCGTATACGCAATATGGATTGGGATGGGAGCAAAGTGAGTTTGCCCTGGGTTTGGGATACATTTTGATTTGTATTCGGCGATAGCGTTTGACGTAGGAGCAACAGATTTTTTGTGTTTTTTGGTTACTTCTACATGTGGCGCAGTTTTATTACAAGGACCACACCCACACGAAACATGGATTTTTGGCAATTATCTAAAAACGAGTTCGAAGTCCGAGGGGAAAATGCCAAACAGGCATTCGTAATTTGTAATTAAATCGGGGGAGGGTCTATTTTTAAAAACTCCCAACCAGGAAAATCCCCATTTGATGGGGATACTTTGGGATTTGAGTGGGTATTACAAAATCAATAAATAATTACGCAGGACTTTTGTCATAAATAAGTGGACAGAAAGGCTATTTCCCCCTTAAGGACTTTTAAAATGCGAGAGTGCAGATCAACATCCATTGACTCTGGGTCCAGGAACTAGTCGTTCCGTCTCTTGTTCCAAAGAAAAACATTCCGACGCAATTAGTCCTTTTTGCCAGGACTCTCGTATGTACGCTTGTGCAATCCGAGAGCAGTGTCCATGGCAACTGTGGCATGCAATCAGCTATCGGGATGGTTCAGGATGGGGGCACTGGCAGATGAGATTGCGCCATTGCAAACAGCATCGATGTCGCAATAAAGCCAGTGGATAACAAGGACATCTCCATTGGGAGCGGGAGTACAGAGAGCTGGGGCCTCAGGTGCCGACTGGCTATCGGATTACCAAGGAATAGGAGAGTTAATTGGATTTAGCGCCTGCTTTATAGGTTTCCCCCTATTTCTGACCCCATCGAAAGCACTCTAGTTCTTATTGATGTCCTAATTAATTGCGTCCGTTCCAGCTCTTGAACTCGCATTAATCCCGAAATCCCGGGTGAGTTATTGACCTAATCCGAGGAGCGTGCAACAAGTGCGCGTCATAGCTGTCAAGTGCTGACAGAATTGGGCGATGGTTATGCATTATTGTGACGGATGCCAGACACATAAGAGGGTCTCTGTGGAAATCGCAATGCTGTCAGGATTGCAGAATCCCTTTTCTGACAAGAAAGAAAGTCTCTGCTGACGTTTCACTTGGTATTATATGGAAATATGTTGGCATCGTTATGTTTTATAACATTGTATAAACGACATTTCAAGAGCATCTTCAAAGAGTATATATAAAGAAATATAAAAAAAACTTTATAATGATATATGAGATTGTAAGAAACGGACCATAATTATAAATAGTTCCCAATACATTTGAATTGATGAAAGTCCCTCCTAAGGTGGTAATATATAAACAAAAATTGTAATACTAAAATCATATAACATTTTCAGGAACAAAGAATGTATTTTAGAAATAATTTTATTAATAAAGATAATAATAAAAACTTCTTTATTCTTAGAACGCACAAAAATTCTTTTAAAACCTGTGGAAAATTCCAGAATAACAATTCCATTCTACGTAGTTATTTTGATTTATTTTTCTGTGGAATGCGACAGGTCAAAGTGCCACAGACGGTAGAATTTCTGAGTAAAATGACTGACCTATTATGGTGTTATTTACCCCCGTGTGTGGGAAAGTATATTTTCGCCACGTTGACCTTGGCTCGAATGCAATGGCTTTTTAGCATGCAATGCGCAAATTTGCGCCTGGCGGTATGCAAGGAAAGCAACTTGGCCTGCCGACGGAAGTTGGCCAATGCCAGAGGCGAAAACTTTGGCGGTTGCCTGCTGGCCAAAAGCTGCCTTTGGCATTCCCATCACGCTCCTGGGCACCCACACACACTGAGATACTGGAATAACCCCTCGAGCCATCGCAATTAAGGCCTGACACTCGCCCGACAAGTGCAGCATGTCAACCTGAAAGCCAGGCCAGCAAACATGGCCCAAACAACCCGACCGTCGGCAATATAATAATTGATTTTTCGCACAAACCACTTACCGGGCCTAGGTTGTCGAAGCCGTACTTGTCGGCCACTTCATGGGCGAACCCGTTGTCCACTCCGCGCCGGAAGCGCACCAGGAAGGAGCTGGTGAAGACGGCGGGGCCAGTCAGTCCGGATCCCGATCCTCCTGCTCCTCCTCCGCCCGCTCCGGCACTGGCCAAGTGGAGGAGCAGGAATGGGGCCAACAGCCAGCTCCATGCGGCTGCTGCCATGGAATTCAGTTTTGAATGGGCTCTGGCTCCTTGGGCTCCTGGCGACGATGGGGCAACTCTGGCAGCCCTTAAAAACAAGTCCTTTTTGGGGGTGGTGGGTTTTCCTGGTGCGTCGCTGGGCTGATGGAGTGTCGAAATTAAAGGCCGCGCTTCGTTGCACACCCTGCGTTCCAGTTCCAAAGTTGGCCAAGCGAATCGGGTAATCAGGACCAAGTTGCTCGGCTGGCAAAATGTCCTTTTGTTGTGGTGGCGATTTGTTTTCCTTATTGTGTATCGGTGGCTCTGCTCCAGAGCTTGTTGTGCTTTCCTTCCGCTTGGAGTTGTTTTCCTATAATCTCAAGCTGGGGTCTTTGTGCGCTGCCACGAACTTCACTGGGGCGCTGCGCGCTGAGAACTGTTCGCCAGCGGTATCGACGGACGCCATTATGAATGCCCGCCCCGCCAGGCGCCAGAGCGGAGGCGAAAGCTCCCGCGGAGAAGCTCGCTCGAAAGCTCGGAAAAGCGGAGGAAAACCACCCGCCACCCACTCGACGCACCCTAAGCGGACCTACTGCTGTCCCGCTTCCTCTGCAGGGGCGCTACAGGACTTCAGCAAGGGGGTGTGTGTGAAATATATTTCCCAGGATATCAGGCTTTCATTATTAAGAATTGTATTCCGTTTACTGCGCAATCCCTAATTATTCTAAAAACTTATAAGATTACAACTTAAAACTCAAAGAAAAATAAACCTATTTGTTCTGAAAAACAGAAACTTGTAGATCCAGTATCAAAAAAATGTCTGTATTGAGGATGTCCTGTTAAGACATGCTTATACAATCTGTGATAAACTGTGAGATTTTAATAAAAAAATTATATATTATGCTGTACAAAAATTATATTTCCAAAAATTATAATTTTTTAAGCAATTTCAACGTTAATGCGTTTCCAGCTTGGCAGAACTATAAAATATAAATCTTTTAATGATATAAAATATATAATAAGTGTAAAACTATTTTCATAAATTGTTAAATGACTATATAAGAACTTAAGAATGTTTAAAAATGTATTTTTCAAAAGATGAAGCCCCCCTGTGAAACTCCTTCTACGCCCTGTACGCCTGCTATCGCTCAGCTGCGTTAGCTAAACTTTTCTTTGGCTTTCCCCCTGACTCCGGCTTTCCAGCCCGGCTGACTTGGCTTCTGCAGCGGCTTTAGCAGCCCACAGACGTCACCAATTCGGCCGCCCGCTGCCATTAACCACCCACAACCCCGCCCGCCCTGTGCTAAATTTTAGCCACTGCTTTGCCATTGGTTTATGCTGCGCTCCGAGAACATATGGCAGCATACTTGACTTTCGCCGACTTTCGGCGCGACTCGACCGGAGGCACAGTCACATGCTCCAGTGCAGAACGCGAGGGACTACTGAGGACTATTCATAAACATCAACGCAATTGCCTCTTACGCGTAATGGCTGCGAAAGGGCTTCAACTTTGACCTTAGCCCAAATAGGTTCATAAAGCCCCAAGCACCCAGCACACAGAACCCAAGCCTTTAAACTGCAGGCCAAGCGAAAAGAGAAGACGGCCGGGGCAACTTTCGCCGGCTTTTATGCCAGCTTGATTGTTTCAACCACGTTTAAAAGCGAGATGGGAATTCTCATATTTTGATTTCATTCGCCATAAATTTTGCTTTCCAGGGAAATCCCCTTTCAGGCGGCTCATTTCATTTTAAAACTTGATTTTATGGCCTTGCCTTAAATGTACTGAGGGCTAATATCAACTTAATTGGTTTATCATGCAGAAAAACTCTAAAATAATTTAATTCTTGAATAAAATTGTTTAAAACCCTACACTAAACGGAGTAAGAAGTTATTTAAAACGATTTTTATAAATTCTCTGACTAAATAGCATACTTATTTTCAATGATTAGCTGTAATCGTTTATTTGAAAAATATGGAAAACATTTCTTAACATTCGTTCATTAAGGCCTATTATAAATTTTTCTTATGAATACGAAGTAAACTTAGTTGTAAAAAATTAAATACAATTTTAAAGTAATTTTAAAATAACAATACTTGGCTTACATTTAAATGATTGAAGTATTTCGGTTAACAACCTTGAAAAAAAGAACAACAAAGAAAGCTATAGTCGATATATGAATATGATAAAAATGCTGGGGATACTCTAAAACCGCTCATAGTTAAATACTAATTTTGTTGAGTAAGTAAGCTGCTTCCCAATCAATTTAAAGCCATGATAAATTCGAGCTGACCTATTTAAGCGCTACGAGAATTTCAAAACAGAAATCCTTCGCCTACACTTCAATTAATTTAAAAGGCTGTCGCACTCAACGAGTCTCGTATCGGTGAATGAAAGCTCAACCGGGGGCCGACAATTCACTGGCTGTCGTTGTCGGTGGCCAGTCGCATCCACCTGTGCGTCCCTGCCACCTGTGCAGGTGGGCGGCGCATCCCCGGCCTGATAATGCCGACCATATGGCGAGTCGCATGCGCCGAAACAAGCGCACAAGCATTCGACGCGACAATTGAGGCACCTGCTTTAATTTACAATTAACTTTTAATTAGCCTTAAATTTACATTTACAACGACGCGTAGGAGCTGCATGAATCAATTAGCGTACTCGGATTTAAGCATTATCGTTTTGTTCCGCTTGCGTTGGCCCTTTCCTTGATCATTCTGTAATGGTCAAGGAAAGGGCAAACGCAAGCGGGACAAAACGATAATGCTTAAATCTAACTTTGCTCATCACAATTGGTATTCGCAGAGGGGAAGCTGATGTTCAGAGGGTGGGCTACCTTATCGGGTTTCATTTCCGGCTGCCGAAGAGTTTGCCGCGCGCTGCGGAAGCAAAATGATGAGCTTACATTGGTTTGGGATTGCAAGTTTACATGTACTCACCATGGGAAGTGGCTGGGGACAGGGCATGCGAGCTGGCATGGCGTTTTATCCTTGGAGTATTCTTTAATTCCAAACCAGAAGCGGAGGAGGAACTTGTGCAGGCGGTTGAACCCTTGCCGGCCACCGCATTGGTCAGGGTGGACACTCCGCTGGAGGAACCTCCTGTAGTGGGCATTGACTTGTAGCGCTGCAGAGAGGTGCGAGGCTTCTTGGGCATCGTGGCCTGCTGCACGGCCTCTTCTAGAGCGCTCAGCCAGTCCTCGTCGCCCTCGCTTTCGTCTTCCAGAAACTTCATGTAGAAGGAGGGTCGCTTCGCGTTGTGATGGCTGGTGGGTGTGGTGCTGGTGCTGGGTTTGGGTGGCTTCTGGGGTTCTATTTCGGACTCCAGTTGCTGAGTGGCCTCGAGCAGGAAGAGATCCGTCTCCGAGTCGTTGAGGAAGGAGGGTCGCTTCGCGTTGTGATGGCTGGTGGGCGTGGTGGTGCTGGGTTTGGGTGGCTTTTTGGGTTCTATTTTAGACTCCAGTTGCTGGGAGGCCTCGAGCAGAAACAGATCCGTCTCCGAATCGTTGAGGAAGTCGGCCATGGGATCTGCGGCAGCCGGGGGAGGAAGCACTGGCTCTGGCGAAGCCTTCTTGCAGGCCGATCTTGTTCGGGCAGCTACAGGTGGCGGGATTTTGGGGGTTTGCGGGGGGATAACTGGCTCCGACACGGCTATCTGGTCCAGTTGGCTGTTGAGTCTGGCGCAGCGCTCCTTGAGGAGAACATTGGCCCGCATCTGCTGCGCCCGCCACTGCTCGTTGTCCAGCTGGCTGCGACGATCCTCGACGCCCTTGAAGGCGATCTGCCGGCGCCGTTCCCGTTGGCTTAAACTGCCAATTTCGGCGGAGTCGAAGCCACTGTCCGTGGTGGCATTGCTGCTGCTCCGGTTCCAGCGCCATCCTACCTCGGGGCTTTCGGTGGCCAGAGTCTGCGAGAAGAGGCAGTTGGGCGAAAGGCTAATGTCCAGGCGGGGCGAGAAGTCCACACTGTCGTCCAGGTTGGGCTTGTGCTTGTGCGGCGGAGTGCTCTCCACGTCGGATGTGATTCCCCCGATTGTAGAGTCGTTGGGCGAGCCAGGAGAGCCCAAGGAGACGTTTACATCGTGTCCGTTTCCAGGACGCCCGCAGCTCTGGGGCGAAGCTGTGGGAAGAGTGGGTTTAATGGGTATTCCCGGTACAATAGTGCTCCTAAATGGGAAAACACTCACCACTGTGCCTTTTCTGCAGGAGACGCGTGCTGAGCGTCAAGGAACGCCGTTTAATAAATGCGTTGTTTTCCATTGAATTACATCTGTCCGTTAAACAAAGCGTATAAGTTATCCGAAAGCCTGCGCCGGCGAAGCAGGGTGCGAGTGCCTGAGACACATATAAACAACGGCTTGATTAAGTTATAAAACAAATTTTAAATCAATTTTATATCAGGTGGTTGAATTTTTATGAAGGAATTTGTATTGCCGCCAATCGAATTTAGGGATGCCACTTGGCGGTGGCCTATCGCCAATCGATAACGGGGATGCCACTTGCCTGTCGTGAGAAACAGCTGTTAGCCTGCGTGTGGAACACGAACGATAGGTAATCACGCTATCCGTTATCGATAGTTTTATGATTTAAGCGCCTTTTTGAAAAATAACTTTTTTTGTTCCTTATTTCATTTAAAGCCATTCAATCTAGAAAGAATATTTTTCTATCCTCTCACCTTGTTATGTATTTAAGGCATACCATGTAATGGAAAATAAATATAAGATATCTTACTTCGGTACAATTGCTAACTGGTCGAAGCGGTTTGAGAGTACAACAGGAAGCATTACTGGTCGTTCTTCAATTGCTGAAATTTCTGTGAATTGTCAGCAATTCAACAGTAAAAATAATATCCAGTTTTTATTTTATGAAGAATATTTGTACTTCTATTAACATATAATATCGATATTAAACAAAATATCTGTATGAAAATATTTATTTAGTCAAACTGTGTATCGATGTAACATATTTTGATACACTTTTCACATCCCTAATTTGGACTGTGGTGATGTGTTAAAACCGTTGTGTGTACAATCCATTGAGCCAGGCCAGAAGACCAGAAGATGAACTACAATCCGAACGCGGGTATGCGGAACCGTAAGTGGGAGAACTGTAAGGATCAGGCTACGCAAGCAAGTATACCCGGAGGATGTCCGGTGCAGCCACTCCGGAGGTTCCGACCCTCGCCCGCCGACCGGAATCGGGAGTCGGTGGTCAACCGGAGTGCTGTCACTGTTTACGTTACACGTTACCCCGTTTTGTGCGCCGCTCCTGCTTCCACTGCATCCTGCCCCCCAGTTTCTGTGCCCGCCCTGCGTTTCCGTTCCGTGCTGCGTGTGTAGCTTGATTGCCTGTGTTCCCCCGCTTTCCCAATTGTCTCGCACAGATCCTCCGCCACTAACCCACCGTGTTGCTCTGTCCCGAAATAGCCTCAGCTGCCGGTCGCCCAAGGCCACAGAAGCGCGTCAGCGACGTCAACGCCATGGGTCCCTCGGCTCCGATGATGGGCGGTGGCGCCACCTTCATGGCCCCACCTGCCGGCCCGGCAATGTTGGATCCCAATTTGTACGGTGCACCTGCTCCGGCGCCCGTCAACAGCTACGGCTTCGACCCCAGTCTCGGCCAGCCGTCGCAGCACATCCAGCAGCCACCGCAACAGCAACCGGGATTCGGCTACGGTGCACCACAGCCTCCGCAACAGGCGTCTGCGAATGCCCCGCCCACCTATGGAATGGGAGCACCGCAGCCTGGGGCCGGACCCCTGCCTGCGGGACAGTACCCACAGTTCGCCATGTTCCAGCAGCCCATTGTCCAGGACATGGCCATGCAGTACGGCCAGCGCCTGGCGGATCAGGGCAAGCAGATAATGGAGAACCAGTTCGAGAAGTGGGTGCCGGTGGCTAAGCTCAAGTACTATTTCGCTGTGGACAATGCCTACGTGGGCAGAAAGCTGCGGCTGCTCTTCTTCCCCTATATCCACAAGGTGGGTGGTGAATCTGGTATAGTTTCTCCTATTTTAATCATCTCTTCCCTGCAGGACTGGTCCCTGCGGTACGACCAGGAGCACCCAGTGCAGCCGCGATACGATGTCAACGCCCCGGATCTCTATCTGCCCACCATGGGCTACATCACATACGTGATCGTGGCGGGCCTACTGCTGGGCATGCAGAAGCGTTTCTCGCCGGAGCAGCTCGGCATCCAGGCCTCCAGCGCCATGGCGTATAGCATTTTCGAACTGGTCATCTACTCCATAGCTCTGTACGTAATGAATGTGAAGACGAGCCTAAAACCCTCGACTTGCTAGCCTTCACTGGCTATAAGTACGTTAATATAGTGGTCTGTCTGATGGTCAGCACGCTGTTCTTCAAATCCGGATATTATATTGCACTGGCGTACACCAGTTTTTCCTTCGGCTTCTTTCTGGTGAGTTTGGTAAGGAGGGAGTAAAGAGTGTCTAGTAACTTTCATGATATTTTCAGCTCCGCACGCTGCGGACCAAGTTGCTGCAGGACAACTCACCGGCTGCACCCAGTGGCGCCATCAACTACGATCCCTATGGCAATCCCCAGCAATTCGACTACAGCGGCGGCAAGAAGCGGAAGCTCTACTTCCTGTTCATGGTAGTTGCGGGTCAAGCGCTGTTCGCCTTTTTACTCTCCAAGCACCTGTATCTGCCGGAGGCGGAGGTTCCACTGGTGCCCAAAACCTTCTAAATCGCCAGGCTTGATAGGTTAATTTGCGGACTCCTTGAGTAAAACCGGGGCCAGGATCCCGTTCGAATGTTGAGAGTTTCCGGAGCCGAGGCCAAGTCATTTCCAGCATGTAAAATCCCCTCAGTAGTTTGTGGTTGGCGGTCATCAGAGATTCGCGCGAGAGAAGCATATTTTTGTTAGAAACAACACATTTTATAAATAAATACCAGCTATGAGAATTAATTTTTTATATAATTTTATTGAAATTTTAGTCTCTTTTACTGTAACGTGTTCTTGGTTGGTTTTGCTTGCTCGGCTCATTGTTAACTTATTGGCTAACTTCGCAAATCGCCGCTAGTTTCTCCTGGTTCGTTATAAAATATATGTGTGAGAGTGTGTCTGGCTGTATGAAATGTTTTCTGTGGTTGTGGTTCGGGTTTCAGATTTCAAATTTCCGATTTCTGACTTCCGGTTCCTGTCTGCATTTAGTCTAATTTGTTCGGTTGTCTTCTGCGTTTGCGTCTGCATGCTAAAACGTTGCACTCGGCTTGCATCAAAAAATAAAAGGCATACGAATCCGTAGTAATAGTAATGATAACAGTTCCTACTTTAGGTTAGTTCGTGAGTTTACATAGTTAGATAGTTCGTCGTTGGTTAGTTTGGGGCCTCGACTGCAACTCAGTACATAGCACAATGTGAAAAACGTCCTCTGCTCATCTCATCTGATCCATCTATTTGATTCTGTTTATTTTAGTTCGCTAATGCAGTTCGCTTCTTCGTTCTTTTGCTTTATTTATCGTGTGTAGTGTAGGCTAGCACTTAGTAAATAGTTATAAACATGCTTTGCTTTGTTTTCAACAAATTCCACGTACTAAAAAAATAATACATTTACAACTAATAATTTAGATTAAACATATACGTTTGTTTGTTCTGTTGCCTGATGCTGCGTATAGATCGTAGTTATGTTGTACATAGCTATATATCGTATATAATATATATATTACGGGTGTACGGTGTGTCTGTGTGTGGTTCATAAACTCATTTAGGCTACATTTGGAATACAAAATACGCAACATAAAAACCTTTAAAACTCTTGCTCCTATCAATAAATTATCGAAATCAATCGCCTAGCTTTAACCTAGATCACCGACTGCTTCTGCTGCTGCTGCTGCTGCTCCTGCTGCTTGACAAGATTACGCTGATAGTTGACCAAGTCCACTTTATTGAACTAAATTACCGTCCCGCCGGGCGCCGCCGTCTGTCCAGGAGACAAGTGCTGAGTGGCATGCTGTGGAAGAGGATACATGTAGTACATATTCAAGAAGAATCGATTCTATACATATTAAAGTGTTCTTGAATTCTCGTCAGTTTAACTTACCGTGGCATGACCAGGCCGCGCCCAGGTGTATATGAATCCATCCTGGCACGCCGTCAGGAAGCAGTCCTCGCGAAAGATCAGCGCCGTCAGCCGCTCGTGGGCAATCTTTTTGCAGACCAGCGGCTCCAGCAGCGGGCACTCGTCGAAGCGCGGACAGGCGGGCGTTCCGATGAGTTGCATGGGATCGAAGCTGCTCACCCCCGAGCCAGAGCCCGCTCCCGCTCCAGATCCCGACGCATGGGCGGCCGTGGCCAGCGAGGAGTGGTGCGACGACCGACTCAGCTTCAGCGATCCAAAGCTGTGCGCCGTCGAGCTGCTCCCGATGGCCCCGGCCGCCGTCGAGTCCAATGTGCTCGAGTGGCCAAAGTTGGACGAGCTGCTGTGGTTGCTCTGGCTGTGGTTGTTGTGGCCGCCACTGTGGTTATGCTGGTTGTAGCTCTTCAGCATGCTCATCGCCTTGCGGTGCTGGCGATGGGCTGTCGAGTGGCTTCCCTCATAGCCGGCGGCCTTCTTGTCCGAGTTGCTCAGGAAGCTGAAGTTCGAGAGCCGCTGGGTGAGGCTATTGAAGGCGCTGAAGCCGCTGCCCGAGTTGGAGGACTTGTTCGAGCTGTTGGAAGTCTTGCTGTTGTATCCCGTGGTGGTCAGTGATGGCCTCTGTGCACTCCCGCTTCCGCCTCCGCCGCCTCCATCAATGCTATCCGACTTGGTGGCGCTGATGCAGTTGGGAAATTTGATTGAGTTGCCCGTGCCGTGGTTGCGGTTGTTTTGCTTCGTTGTCGAGGTCGCCGCTCCCGCTCCTGCCACGCCCGCTCCTGCGCCTGCATTCGAGGTCGTGGAGGCGGGAGTGGCTGCCTCGGTGTCGCAGTCGTCGGGCGAGGATTGTGAGGATATCGTGCAGTTGGCGGTTGAGAACTTGCTCGAGCTGCTATTGCTGTGCTCGCCTGCACCGTTTCCCGCTGCACCGCCTGCCGCCTCCCGGGTGGGACTACAGCTGCCAGACTCCGCCTGTTGTCCGCCCGCCTGGCCAGACATGGCCACTGGTCGAATCACCTTGATGCCGTCCTCTGCTTCCGCATCTTCATCGACGCCACCGTTGAGATAGCCCCTTTCGCTGTTCGCTCGCTGCCTCAGCGCCAGCGGATGGCGCAGCACATCCTCCGTGATGTCCCACAGACAAATCTGCGTGTCCTGACTGACGGAGCCAAGTCGATAGCTCATCAGCTTCTCCGCCGAAGAGGCATCTGAGCGAAACGAGGCCGAGTGCGGTCGATTGCGGGCAGCATGCACGGGCGTGGAATTCCGGTCGAAGCCCTCGAAACCACCGTTGGCCGTGGAGTCTCCGGAGAAGCGCGCTTCTCGCGAATTGGAGTACTCGTTCATTTGATTCTCATCGTCGCTAAAGTCCCCGCCATCCCAGTTGGTGTACGAGGTGGTGTACGGGTCGAAGGCCACCACAGAGACCCAGGACCGATGGCCCTGTCCGCGGGCCACCACTCGCCGCTCCTGCAGCGACCACACGGTCACGAGGTCATCCTCGCCGCCCACCACAATGTACTTGCCGTCGGGCGACCAGCAGACGCACAGGAAGCCGCCAAAGTAGGAACGAGCGATGCCCAGCAGGTCCATGGTGTCGTAGTGAAAGACGCGCAGGAAACCGTCCTGGGAAACCACCGCCAAGTGGGAGCCGCAGGGCGAGAAGCAGAACTCGTTGATGCAGCAGTTGTCGGTGCTGAAGACCCACTTGAAGAGCGGGTTCCTTGTGGTCTTGGACTTGCTGGTGAGTATCGTGTAGCCGTCGCCCAGCTTGAAGGGCTGATAGCTGGGCGCCGTGGCGGCGCAGGGCAGTTCCTCGTTGTACAGGTACAGGTGACCTGAGGCGTGGGCGGCGAGGAACAGGTGCGGTGAGTTGGGCAGCCACTTCAGGCAGGTCACTTTGGTCTTGTCGATTAGTCGCTAAAGTAAAGACGGTACCATTAGTTGGTTTGCAACTTTAGTGTCAGTGGGATTACTCACCTCCTCGTTGAAGAGCTTCCTCACTTCTCGAGGACCAACCTGCGGGGAGACCAACTGGATCTGGCCCGTGGTGAAGCCCACCAGCAGGGGCGCTCCCGTGGGCGTGGCCGAGCTCGCGTTGAAGTCGTGGCAGCTGGGATTCGTGCCCTTGTAGAACTTCTTATCGATCGGCTTGCTCATCTCCGTGCCCTGAAAGTAAGTCAACAAGCGTTACTATCATCTGTTTCTGTTTATCTTGGTCGCTCTTGATTGCACTACGTTGTCTATTTTAAACTAAAAGTGGAGAGGTGGCTAGTGGAAACCCTTTAAAAGATTTCGTTTAACACAAAGGTTTGCTAGTTATGATACGATATTGTTGGAACATGGTGGAAAACTAGGCATTCGGAGATTAAGGTGCACTATGTATTGAACAAGTGAAGTATTCATATAACTAGTGGAATTCTTTAGATTTACAGTATCCTGTGTACTGGTAATATAAGGGTATAGGCACAATAAACTACCAGTTCTCTGTAACAAGAAGCTAATGGATTCTAATTTCCAGTTCTGCTTCAGAGTTTTATAAACAAATGATTGGGTTGGGTTATATATCCCTCTAAATTCTATACAAACAATGTCAACAGGGGAATATGAGTCAAAATTGTTACATGATCATCATCCTTGTTCAATCAATTTAGATTATTTCATCATTTATACCTAAAATTGAAAATGCTTTAAGTTTTTAATGAGAGAAAAAAATTAGCAATTCATGATTGTCAAACAAGTGAGTTCTAAAAGTAAGAACAGTTTAAGCCAATCTTTTTTCGGAATTAGGTTTACTACATTTGAAGTTCAGCAAACTGCGATAACCAGAACAGACCAATGAAAACAAAAGTGGAAACCGGAACATTTCCGCTTGAGCTGAGATTAGAATGGAAGATTACCCCCAGTGGGATGAAATAATCTCGGAAATTAACACATTCTGGAAGCGGCATGGAAATTAGCAGCTTGTTGGCGGAATCAGGTGGGAAAAGCTCCGACTACGGCCAAGAGCAGGCGTTTGCCAAGTTTTCGCCAGCAGATAACTATGGCAACACAGAAGCCAGCTAAAATAAATACAGAAGGAGAATCGCAAGCTGTTGCTGAACAGAATGCCAAAGAATTAGAAACAGCTGCTGGGCAGGGGAAACTAGGCAAACACAAGATGGGCGATGCGGTTGGTGTGCATAGTCGAACTTGGATTACTCTTTCTCTGGTCACAATGAGTACAAAAGGGACTAGATTTGGCTAATAAACAGGTGCTTCAAGTTTATAACCGAACAATGGCACACTCCTGCTGATTAAGAGGGTTCCAAATGAAAGTTAGGGTAATCTTCTCGCCGGGATGAGCTCGAAGCTCTCACAACCGACTGCCTTCGAGCGCAATAAACATTCATAAAAACGCCAAACAAGCGAATTGATCATCAAGCGCTCGAAGTGGAACAAATTAAGCCCGCTGGGGGGACACTGCATGCAAATGGCAAGGTATTCAAGCCCCTGCAAATTGCCTGGTGCAATCCGCCTGGAATGCAAATGGCATTGCCGGCAGCCCCTATCTCTGGCGTGATAAGCTCGCTGCACCTCCACCTACTCCTCCATCTCACGTGCTTTGCGATGGATACTGATATGAAACCATCTCTGCCATCTTGGCCTCACCTTCTTGGCTCCTCGAAAGGAGTAGACGTAGAGATCTCGTCCGAAGTTGAAGCAGATGCGGTCGCCTCCCAGGACCTGGTTGGTGGCCACTCCGTTCTGGTCCACGACGCCGCCGTTCATCATGGAGTGCATGGAGATGCCTCCGCCCAGGCGGGCGTCCACCGTGCTGTTCGCAGCACTGTTGCTGTTGTGG